AGGTAGTCAGCTGCTGCACTCTTCTTATTTTTTCCTGCAATTTAGGTTCAGTTTTTAGGCTCCTGGCAAGTTTGGATGCAGCTGGTCTAAACCATGAAAAACTATGTGTACTAACAGCACCAAAAGATTCCCTCTCTCTTCCCCTAGTGAATCCAGATTAGCCTTAGGTTATCATCAGCACCCGGCTTTAACGTCTAAAGCCGTAGTCAGCTGCTGCACTCTTCTTATTTTTTCCTGCAATTTAGGTTCAGTTTTTAGGCTCCTGGCAAGTTTGGATGCAGCTGGTCTAAACCATGAAAAACTATGTGTACTAACAGCACCAAAAGATTCCCTCTCTCTTCCCCTAGTGAATCCAGATTAGCCTTAGGTTATCATCAGCACCCGGCTTTAACGTCTAAAGCCGCACTAGGTAACTTTTTTTTTCTAGAAATCATCAACATCTTCCACAGCAGATAACTCTAGAAACTTCATTTTTACTCTTCAGTGAAGGTTCTCGCCAAACTTTAGACACCTTTTGTGTTTTTGCCAGTAGTTTGCCTCCCATTAATTTCCATTGAACTCCCACTGCCCATGGATTCAGGAGCTAAAATGTTTACTCGGTACACTGTATTATGCCAGTATACACACATCGTAAGCATCACAAATCATTTAACTGAATAAACTGTTCACCACTCAGTGACAGCCAAACAAGGGAAACCCTGTTCATGACACACACCAGCAAGAGAGAGACAAGTGCATGAGGTGAACCCTATTATTGGACCATGAGGGGGAGACAAAACCGAGCTCTCTCCAGCAGAAGTTGGTCCAATAAAAGACACTCCCACCTTGTATCTCTAATACCCTGGGACCAACATGGCAACACACAACACAATGCATACAACACACCCGCAAAGTCACCTGCACTGATCTTGTTCCTGCCGTTTCAGCTGCAAGCAGCCACGTGGGTAAATCTGGGGAGAGATGAAATAGGGCGTTTACAGTAGCAAACACTAAAGAGAGCTGATTGTTAGTGTTAATTTTCTCCTGTTACACACCTCCATAACGTTACTGCCTGCTACTGACATTCTTCAAATGGGGGAGCATGAAGAGATGGGAAAGAAAAGTTGTTGAACAGTTCAGGAACCTCTTTGTCCTTCCTAAAGCTGCTCCCTTCCATTTCTCCCATTAGTAAATTACCTTCAAGATCAGATTCAATCTTGGAGTTGTGGGAATTTACAGTCTCCTACCCAGCCCCCAAAATTGTCCAGACCAAAGTGCCTTAGTGTTATCCATCCCTTTAGTGTCCAGCTAGCCTGGTCATTAAAAATAGAGACACCTGTTCTGGTGAACAACTCTTCTTTTCTCTTGGAGTATTCAGTGTTTGGCACTGTTCCATTCATGAGCTGTCCCCTGTGCATGCGTTTAGTGTATTTCTTTTCTATATTTTTTTGTACTCAGTCATCATGCTCATCCCAGGAGAAGCTGCACCAGCTGCCCTTTCAGCCGACGGCCGATGAACTTCATTTTCTGACAAAGCATTTCAGTACCGAGAGTATCACTGACGAAGAAGGACGTAATTCTCCAGCCATGCGGCCACGATCTCGCAGTCTCAGGTGAGCTTGCACGCCACTCCTGGGATCTTGTCATCATGCATTGCCTTTCTGCCATGTTCTCTCAATTGTCAGAGCACAAACGTGTCATTTGTGTTTTCTGCTGTTTTTGTAGTTCAGCCTCACACCGTCAAGAGTGGTTATAGGTATTTCCTTTAAATCTGACCTTCGAGACTTAAACTGAAGAAGTATTTGTGCCATTACACTCTGAGATTATCAAGCATCACAGATAGAATGTGCTAATTTCACTACTCTTGTGTGAGTTCTATTTCCAAAACTTCTCCTGTTACTGAATTTTTCCTCAGCTGTAGGAAACTGTTGCATTGCTAGAAAAGTTCAGTCAGCACCGAGTCTACTTGAATGGATGTGAAAACTGTTAGTGTTGTAAAAGAATTTAGTGCCATTACAACAAGTCTCAAAGAACACTTCTCTAACAATGCTGGAAACAGTGTTATCCCAAGCTTGCAGTTGCAGTTAAAGCAATTTTTACAATTGGTTGAGGGAAGCCTGCTCAAAAATAGTAGTCAGTAAAGGGCTGTTTCCTAATGTAGATAGCACTTAAATGCAGAGAAGCAGGAGCAATTGGAATTTGACCCTTTCTTACTGAACTCCGTAACACAATTTATTTTAGGAACACATTAGTCTCAGGGCAGAAGCATTAAGTAATTGCCATGCATTTATGCACTGGCCAGATGCATTAAAGCTAGCACGGGGATGTGTAAATTACATAGCAGTGTACTCTGTGCCACAAAAAGCATTCACGGGAGGAAGATTTTCTGCTGCCATCTCCCTTTGTGCCTCTCACCATGAGATGGAGGAGCAGTAATTATCACATAGGATCTATAAGAACTCTGCCAGATGAAGACACTGAATCAGTGAACTCAGCCAGGGACCTGTGCTGTGCTGTCTAATGTTTGCAGAAATCAGCGTAGGCTTGTGGCCCAGTAACTGTTGTCTATTTAAATGCATGGTAAATATTACATTATTGCAGAGTGAAATTGATTACTGTATCTTCTAAACCACAGTGCAGGTTACATGGTAATTTATGCTTGGATCAACTAAGTATAATACATAGAAATCTAGAGGATCAGGTAAGTGAAGTGAGTAGTTACACATGTAGCCAATGATCTTTATAAATCACCACATAATGAGAGACTAGTTACATGATTCGTACTAAATTGTTCAAATCTTTCAAACTAGCTAGTCCCATGTCGTTCTATCGCTGTCTCTCTTAATACTGTCTGTTCCCAGTTAATGTACCTGTGATGTGTCTAATTCATTATAGATAAGAAAGCTACTAGAGGTAGCCAGAATACATTCACAAACATAGTTGATATACTTTTCTGACATAAAACTTATTACTGCTGGGATAATGATGCGTGAAACATTATTGCAAATGTCAGACTATTGTAAAAATTGAAAGAAAACCGTAAATTTGTGTTCTCAGTTAGCATGATTTATCAACACATTGAGACCCTAACTTCATGAACCAAAGTAGTAGGGTTGTATGTGTTCGCACGTGTATCAGTTTTAAGGTTTATATAATAGAAAGATGATGACAATGTTTTAGTGCTACATGAACTGTAAGACATGTTGATATAGGATGTCTTTGTTTTCTTCAGTAACTCTCATGCTGAGAGTTATCAGATCTGTAAGGATACCAACATTTTAAATAACATCCGAATTGTACACATTTTAAATTCCTGGGCCTGATGTCTCATCCCTTGGCTGGCCAAGGCTAGGAACAATGTGGAGAGACTGCTGTGCATTGCTCGTCAGTGACTTCTCTGGCCTATCAGGAAACAGCAATCTGTTCTAGGTCTTGTCTCTCAGGGCAAGGTCCTTTCCAATTGGGTACCCAGGAGAATAGCATTAGTGGGAGGCAGAAGTAAATACTTAATAGAGGACAGCACCTTACCAATAATATTAAAAAATATATAAGAAGATGGACACAGGCATGATGATCATGCTTCCGCTTACATTCTTTTTTGTATTTATTGACTTGTTTGTTTCTGGCAGAACTCACTTGGTTGCCCCTCTTATGGTGAGATGTTACAATGTCCAGTTTTTACTACTTCATTAGAAAACAAGAAAGCTGCTGAAGTTTCTCAAAAATTAACCAAAAACTCACCTTAAGCCAGGCATGTCCAAAGTCTGGCCCGCGGGCCAATTGCGGCCCGTGTTCTGGTTTAATACGGCCCCACAGGTAATTTGGCAATATCTATCTTTTATGGCCCCCAACGAATCCATATGTATTGAGATGAATACATTGTAAAATCTCAGTTAATGTCAGTTGGTCTAAATCAGTTATAAATATATTTGGACACAACATGTATACTTGGTGTTATGTTCCTGTTCATATTTTTTGAACTTAAAAGTTGACAGACAACCTTTATTACCAATAATATGTAATGTACTTTACAATGTTCCTGACATATATTTCAGCTTCCTGGATTTTTTTTTCATCTGGCCTTCAGATATGAAAGGCAGAGTGATTTAACACCTGTTTAGATTTGTCATCCATGTGACAAAATGAAAAGTATGCCGTTTGCAATAAACTTTGCATAAAATAGTTAATTTGCATTTAATTTTAATGGTTCAAAGAATGTCAGGCAAAATGGTCGGCCCTCACGCATGTTCACTTCATCAAATCTGGCCCTCTTTGAAAAAAGTTTGGGCACCCCTGCCTTAAGCATATCATATTTATAGGCATTTCATGGTCCTTCTTCATGCCTTATATGATCGCTTCTACCAAAAAGCTGCCAGAAACGCTGTCTTTAATCAGATTACCTGCATCCTGCTTCAAAGACCTTTTAAGACTTCACTTCAAAGAGAATCCTCTGAACTGTTATTCATGCTTCAATTCAACACTTTACACTCAAATTTGAATAAAGACGCTAATTATCTTACCCATTACAAAGATAGCTTCCACAATTATCACCTCTAATATCATTAGCTCGTAGACATTTATCTCCCCTCCTTCCCACTCCTCCATCCCCCTTCTGTTCTGTAATTTGACTTGTCCTTTTCATATGTGTTCATTTTTTTTATTTGTATCCTTTGGTATATATGGTTGTGACAATTTTCTTCCACTATTTGATCTGAGGAAGTGGGTCTGGCCCATGAAAGCTCATCACCTATTAAACCATCTTGTTAGTCTTTAAAGTGCTACACAGTCCTGTTTCTTAATCAGTATGTTAGTGTGTGCTACCTTTAATTGAAACCAAAAAAGTATATTAATTGACCAATGCATTAACATCTAGGGGAACTGATTTTTTGTTATGTTTGTTAAATGTAAAAATTTAGCTTCATTGTTATGAATAGAGGAATTAACATTTTGAGGTTTCCTAACGCTGTGCTGGAATTTGTATTCTTCTGAGGGTTGTTTCTATGCATTTCCATTTGTGGAAAGTGACACTTGTAACATCGAGCTGTGGAACTGTATCAAAAAGCTATGTTCCCCGAGGGGCTGCAGAAACGAGCTAATACTGGGATGATGTCACCAGCTCCATCCATAGGGCAGTGCACCCCCCCACACACACCTGCTCAGTTCTTTCATTGCCATCAGGGAAGCTAAGTGGAATGTTCTTGTGTTCCTGACCTGGTGATCCTGTTATCATCCTATTAGTTATCGTTAGATAGATGGGGCCACTTGCCTGGGATTATCCCCCAGGCTATATCATGCTCAGTATTAAAAATGTGAGTGGTCTCATTGACTTCACTCAATGACTACCACAAGTTTCAGAAGAATGTACAAGAAACCGTACAGCTGACAGTTATTGATTAGCCAACTTATATGGAAAATTTCTTCTTATCCCCATCCTCACTAAGTAGTTGGTGAGCGTGGGTCTCTCCCCCCCCCCCCCCGTGCGCGCGCGTGCACGCACACACACACACCCCTCCTGTTAAATTTTCAGCTTTTAGTTTTAGTATTTTTCATCCTATTCCTCATGGATCTTAACATCGTGTTTCCTTTCTTGAGTAGTGTGCTGCATATTGAGCAGAGATTTTCTTTGATCTGACAACAAACTCCAAGACTTTTGCCTGACTTGTTACAGTTAATCTAACACCCAGTAATGTGTTTTAGTATTTCAAATGATTCCATTCAATGGTCATTACTTTGTATTTGTCAATATTTATCTACCTTCCTGCTGGCCATTCACTTTGCTTATTTAGATCACTCTATAAAGTTTTACAGTTCTTGCCAGGCGTGACTAGCCTACATAACTGACTAATGTGTAAAATTTTCCACCTCAGTATTGATCCTCTTTTCCACATTATTAAGAAATATATTAAGAATCTAGAGTTTAGGGTCCACACCGCTGTTAAAATTTTGCAATGTTGAAAATTAACTACTTATTCTTATTTTTTGCTCTCTGTCTAATCTAAGACTATACTTTGTCCAGGGCTTTTTAAAAGTACAGATACATATTTGTTGACTGGCTCCCCTTTGTCCAATATTTTGTTAGCATGCTCAAATAATTATCCTATATTAAAGGTGTTCAGTTGCAGCTCTAGTGCAAATCTCTTAGAGATAATTAATTAACTCTTGCTTTCCCAGAAATGTGTGTTCTCTTTTCTGATAACAATCTTCACTTTTGTTAGAAGCAATATGTTAAATCATACTGCATGTTCATAGGAATCCAATAACAGAGCAACAAAATGTTAGTCTGAATTATATTCTAAAATCTAAACCCAGCTGCAAATAATTTTATTCACGGACTAAAATAATATGAGGTTTATTTAAAATAAATACAATAAACAAAAAAGCAAGATCCCAGATTTCATATCAATATGTTAGGCTTATGGCACACTCAGAAATGGGCTTGCAAAGCATTCTGCATGCACAGGAATAGGTCAGCCTTCCTGTGTATTCCCAGAACTTTGGCAACAGAAGCCCTGCTGTGAAATTAGCTATAATCTGGAAGATCTGATTTTTATTCTAATGTGCACTGAAGCAATCCAGGTAGACCGCTTTGCCCCAGAATTTCCTTATTCAGTGATACCAAAGCAATTGTCCATTAAAACTGGAGCACAATGTAGCAGCTGCATCATAGTGATTTTGCAGCAAGTGATCCTTGAATAAATATTTATGGGTAAATCTTAAATTGTGTATTTAATTCTCTGAACTATTTCCTTGCAGTATATTCCCACATCTTCTAAAAAGTTACCTAGTTGTAATCTTAGCTTAGTAGTCCGTCCCCTTTCTCTGACCTATTTTTGTTTTTTGCTATATGTGTATTTGATCATCCACAACAAAAACACAGAAATAGTGAGATGCAGTTTAATTTGAAACATAACATGGCTTCTAAAAGGTGTATCAAATGCTACTGTGTCTTCTAAACACTTGTATCCAGTGTCTCTGTTGTGTCTCTTCAATACTACACTTCTTGCTTTGTCAGTTTGAACATATGAGAGGCATGTGAAGTCTTTCATATAATCTTGTATGTTGATCAAATTCACAATCTCAGGGACCAATCCTGCTCCTTGTGATTTGTCATTTGGTTATTCACTAGGAACAGGATAAGGCCTCCAAGGTTTTTATTTTATGCACATACGTCTCTAGATAAATAATATTCTTTGTTGCTGTTAAAATTCTGTCTTTGTAGTGTCAATGACGAAAGCTTAAGGCATACATTTTCAATTGTTTTCCAAGCAAACAGAGTTCAGAACGGTGAAGTTATGCACACATGCTCATTAGATCTTTCCTCTGAAAGGCCTGAGACAGAAAAGATCACAGGTTTGAGTTCTTGTGCATTTTTCTAATAAATGCAGCTGTCAAGTTGAGAGAAAAATTACATATTAGGAAATATTTCACTTCCATTAGGTTCCTTCTGCACTACAGTTTTCTAAGGCTTCATTTATTAATAGAAGAGTCACTCCCCAGAGTAGCTGCATAGTTGCAATTTTTCAGTTTATACAGATACACAAATATGTATTTTGACAGACAGAAATCCAGATACCTATGTTGGCAAGACATGCCACTTAAGGTCTGTTGGAATGTAATTTCACAAAGGGGGAAGTAAAAAGGAGGTAGTTTTTCATTCCCCTAGTGAGCTTAAGGGGATAGATGTTATTCTCCTAATGTCTGCACTGCTGAAATGAAAAACTGACAGACAATAACCAAATCACCCCCCCCCCATTGACCCTCGCAGAACACAGAGAAAAATCTTCCACCCTTCTATATTAAAATGTTATGCATGCACACCAAGATTATCCCTACTCTGAAAGAAAATAATGCATTACCTTGTGAAGCTTGACATTCCAATATTGAATGTGAAATTATATTGTACAGTATATTTGACTAAAGCTTCTGCATCTCAAACAGATGATATGTCAATAAAAATACCAGAGGTAACTTTATTCATTGTATTAAAATTCCTTTGCAATTCCCCCATGCTGCATTCAGTTATCCAAATGGTTCTGATTTTTCCTTTTGCCTGGTTATCTGTCTCCAAAGTGTTATAAAATAACCTGTTTTGTCTGAGTGCTAGCCTTCGGTTCCTCAGTTAGCAATGTAATTACTTGTGTAGTTTCCCAGGCTAAAGCTCAACATAAAGTGTTACAGTGCGATATATTACATCACAATCTTGCCATAGTGAATTAGTCATTTAATTTGACAAGTTATATTGGGAGGATTTTGATTTCAAAGGTAATTTGGAAGTTGATCAGACTTTATCATTGTCTTTTGGATAGTGAAAGGGAATATTCATCAATAGGTGAGCAGTAGAAGTGGCGGAGACGTTAATTCTCACTTTCTTGTGCAGTACTAACAGGGTTGGGAGAGAAACTTTTTTACCTGGTAAAATAGAAATCTTTTATAAAAGGAAGATGGGACTCATTGGCTATGTCTACACTGCTTTCTTCTTGCACAAAAGCCTATGCAAATGAAGAGCGGATTAGCATATTGCCACGCTTCATTTGCATGATGAATTAGGGGCCGTTTTTGCACAAGAGGCTTTTGCACCAAAAGGAGCTGTGTTTAGATGGCTCCTTTTTGTGCAAGAGGGGTTTTTTGCACAAAAAGGAGCTGTCTACACAGCTCCTTTTTGCAGTAAAGCCTCTTGTACAAAAACGGCCTCTAATTAATAATGCAAATGAAGTGTGGCAATATGCTAATCCATGCTTCATTTGCATAGGCTTTTGTGCAAGAAGAAAACAGTATAGACGTAGCCATTGCGAGCTAAGGATGTAAGCAACTAGTTGACTACCTGATAAGCATGTGACTTGACTAGTTGCTCCCCCTCCCCCTTGCTGCCCCTATCACAGGGGAACGGCAGCTGGCTTAAAAGCCGTTTCCCCCCAGCACCATCGGGAGGGAGGCATATATACACAGAGTTATATATTTCATCATTTGAAATAAAATGTCTCTGATACTCAGCATTCATATTAATAAGTCTTCAGGAAGAATAGCAAAGGAAATATACGCTTTGCTGGATTAAATTAAAAAATGTAATGTGGATAAGTGTAAAGTAATGCACATCGGGAAAAATAACCCCAACTATACGTACAGTATGATGGGGGCTAATTTGGCTACGACAAATCAGGAAAGAGATCTTGGAGTTATCGCGGACAGTTCTCTGAAAACTTCCACGCAGTGTGCAGCAGCGGTCAAAAAGGCAAATAGGATGCTAGGAATTATTAGGAAAGGGATAGAAAATAAGACCCAGAATATCTTACTACCCCTGTATAAAACTATGGTTCGCCCACATCTTGAATACTGTGTACAGATGTGGTCTCCTCACCTCAAAAAGATATTTTGGCCTTGGAAAGGGTTCAGGAAAGGGCAACTAAAATGATTAGGGGTTTGGAACGGGTCCCATATGAGGAGAGGCTAAAGCAACTGGGACTTTTCAGTTTCGAAAAGAGGAGACTGAGGGGGGGATATGATAGAGGTCTATAAAATCATGAGTGGTGTGGAGAGGGCTGATAAAGAAAAGTTATTTATTAGTTCCCTAAATAGAAGAACTAGAGGACACCAAATGAAATTAATGGGTAGCAGGTTTAAAACTAATAAAAGAGAGTTCTTCTTCACACAACGTGTAGTCAATCTGTGGAGCTCCTTGCCAGAGGAGGCTGTGAAGGGTAGGACTATAATAGAATTTAAAGAGAAGCTAGATAATTTCATTGAGGTTAGGTCCATAAAAGGCTATTAGCCAGGGGATAAAATGGTGTCCTTGGCCTCTGTTTGTCAGAGGCTGGAGAGGGATGGCAGGAGACAAATCGCTTGATCATCGTCTTCGGTCCACCCTCTCTGGGGCACCTGGTGCTGGCCACTGTGGGCAGACAGGATACTGGGCTAGATGGACCTTTGGTCTGACCCAGTACGGCCGTTCTTATGTTCTTATGTAACTGCAGATTGTCCAAATCTGTTTTTATTTTCCTCTCTAAAATAACTGTTCTCCAGCAGTGGATTTGGGTTGATGTATATTTAGTGACATACCTTAATAAAAGCAGGACATAATGTAATATGTACCACTTTTATGAAAGATGTCTCACTAGTAAGAGTTTGTTCTTGCTTCTTTCCACAAGTTAGAGAGTAACACTTTTTATGTTGCCTTATAAACTTACTGTTCCCAGGACAATGCTTTTCCTTTAATTAGGTTTGTTACAGGGTTGTATCTCCAACACATCCAGAGATTCAGATACTGTATGTTTGTTTCTTTCTGAGAGAGATATTTAATCCATCATAAGAAACTTTTAAATGATCTGTTTGAGTTAGTTCGGCACAGAAATAATTGTATCTTTCAACATTTAAAAAAATCCATTTAGCAAGATATATACTTTTAAAATCAGAAAAGCAAATAACCGTGTAATGTGTCATAATAGAAGTCATGGTTTACTTTGAAAATAAAAACAATAAAACCAAAAAATGAAGCCGTAGGCTGGTGCAGGCAATCAGTTAACTAAGTGTGTAATTAATTTGTAACTGCATTACCTCATTCAGCCTTTGGCTCTTCTTAACCATGGAATGAGTCATAGCATTACACACTCATATCAGATGTGATGAAATGAAATGCAACTGATCTTTTGAATGTAACCAAGCTGTAATACTGACTTAGCTTCTGACAGAATTTAGTGTCCTGTTTTTGTGTCTTCAAGAAGCTGGCTAACTTGTGTAATATGTAATATGTACACAAAGTGGCATATATATGTATACACACATACACCTATAACATATTAACATTTGGTATGAAAAATATTACAGCTCCTAATGGGGTGGTTTACTTTACCATGTGCCCTTCTAACACTTCAGACTTTGGAGGGGACTGAAATATGGGGGACTACCCCACTGGGAACAGTAAAACAATTAAAATTGGATTTATAAACCTGTGCATCAGTTGTAAATATCAGTGTATGTCTGTTTGGGTGGGGTTTTCACCATTAATGTAGTTTATAAATTATGAATGTATTTTTTCCCTTCAGTCCTGGTCGTTCCCCGATTTCCTTTGACAGCGAAATAGTAATGATGAATCATGTGTACAAAGAAAGATTTCCAAAGGTAAGGACCAATGTATTGAACAATTTATTCACTGAATGTATTAAGCAACCCAATTTAGAATTAGCTCATAAACACTTATTTTGAGAGCAGTTCAGATTCTTGCATATGGTTTCTAAGCAGTGTAGTTTGTTGAGAGCTTCAGACAGGGCCATCCTGTTTTTCACTTAAATATCACAAATGAGAAAACAGAATTAATGTTTAGAGGACCGCTAATGAAAACCTTTAAAAAGCATCATGGCAGGTGATTGCTCTGCGTATTTCATACTACCTGGATTCCTCTTCCCTTTCCCTATTTATTATTACAAGGCATGTACATGAAGATAGGATTGATTGATTAATTTTTCTAAGAGCTCTTGCTCCCACTGCTTAATCCTGATTTCAAATGATGACCTTGGTTTTGTTATAGCGCAGTTGATTGTAGTCAAGGCCCCTTGGTATTCTGCAGCAATCTTGATCCAAATTATTCTCCGACACCCTTGCATTCTGTGGCATTTCCATGCTAGAAGCTGGAAACTGCAGCAGTTTCAAATACATGTTTAAAATTAATTGCACGTGAAAATAACTAATACAGTTCCTAGTACTCCCTCTGTAATTTAATTCAGTTTATTTTACACTGATAACAATTTTCTCATTTAAATTCATTACAGAATTTAATATTGAAAATGCAAAATTGTATTTTGGAAACTTTCTAGGATAAACTAGTGTTGGCTGTTATGTAGGTGAAAATTGGGCCTTTTGGCGAGTGAAAAGCAGTAGAAGGTAGTTTAGATTTTGAGATAAGTAGATTACCTGAATATTAAAATGATCAGCAGTGTAATAGGTAACAATAGTTAAACTGAAATGTGCATAATCTGGTTTCAGAGTTAACTCCTCATTGAGATGAATTGATAAGGTGTTATGGGCTGTGTGGAAACTATTAAACTTGGGGCTTGCAAATCTCTGCTCTTGCAGGTGCCCCAGTGGTAGAAGCTGGTAGGACTTACATGCACATAATGGTTAAAAAAAAGTACCTATATCCTGCCTATCCTACAGCTGTCATCAGTGGAGAATTGTTTTAGTGTATACACTGTCACAGCATGTGAGTCTCTGACACTTTGGTGCTTTAATTGCCATTTTCATTTGTAGTTAATGATATGAAAAATTTCTAAAACTGTGTAATAAATTTACTATTAAGATTCCCATTCTGTGAGTACAGCAGAGAGATGCTGAATAAGAGGTGAGGTTTTTATGGACCCCAGAACCAAGTGTTCTGACTTTCAGGAACTTGGATTTTTTTTACTTTAGGAGTCTAATTATCTTTAACGTAATGTATATGTCAGTACAACCACAGCTCTCTCTTTCTGGGAATTCTAATATCACTGATCTTCATTGAACACATATTTCTCATTGCCAAAATATATCAGCTAGCATCCTATCTGTTCAAATTTACTTTTCCGGATAGCAAAATTCAAATAAGTTTAAGTATTCTTTTTATTCTTCGCTTTTAGGCCACAGCACAGATGGAGGAACGGCTGGCTGAGTTTATTGCTTCTAATGCTCCAGAGAACGTACTGCAATTAGCAGATGGGGTCCTAAGCTTCATTTATCATCAGCTTATTGAGCTGTCCAGAGACTGCCTAGATAAATCACGTGAAGGTCTTATTACTTCCCGGTACTTTCATGAGCTGCAGGAAAACTTAGAGAAACTCCTACAGGATGTAAGTGCTCTCAGAAAATATAGAATATGTTCCTTTGATTAAACCATTAATAACTGTTTTCCCAATTGTCAAGGTGGTTAAGCACTAGAGTCAATTGCCTCGGAAGTCTGGCATCTCCATCATTGGAAATTTGTAAGAGCAGGTTAGACAAATACCTGTCAGGGGTGATTTAGATAATACTTAGTCCTGACATGGGTGCAGAGGCCCTTCCAGTTCCGTGACACTTTCCAGGAATTGTATTATGATGACTGCAGAGTGGCTGAGGCTCCGGAGGTATCTGAGCTGGTGAACTCATCAATGGATGCATTATTTCACTTCCCAGTGGCATTCAATTCTCAATCAGGGATTGATTGTACCTAAAGATGCATCTTGCTGCAGGTTTATGCTTGAGGGATAACCTCAAGAGAGAAGCTTTTGCAGACCCGTCGTCATAACTAGGATGTATTTTTTCAAACAGTCAATCTTGATGCAGTAATAGCAGTACCCATAGCAGCAGCAGCATTATTTATTGTGGGAGCCAATCATAGACCAGGACCTTATGTGAAAGTATAAAAGCATTTGCTGTCTGATGTGTTAAACCAAACACTAGGCCTGGCCTATACATGGCAAGAGATACTCAAACAGTGGACTGGCCTTGGGAATTAATGACATAGTTGAGTGACCCTTTGGCAGTGGTGGTATTCTGCAGCCATGCAGACAGCATGCCGTTACGAGTTCAGCCAGATATCGATCCATTTCACAAGGCACTTCACAGATTCCAAGACCAGAAGGGGCCACTGTGACCACGTACTTTGATCTCTGATAACACGGGCCCCAGTCCTTCCCCAAAGTAATTCCTAGAACAGAGCTTTTAGAGAAACATCCAGTCTTGATTTTAAAATTGCCAGTTAATAATTGAAACCAAATGTCAAGCCTCTTGTAGCTTCATGGTCTGGAATGTTCTCACTGGCCTAGTTTTGAATCTGTTTAACAGGGACTCTTGACACTCACCATGAAGGTACCATTTCCGGTGCCTGCTGCAGGGTTAGGCTATCTGGGATGCAGAAGAATCTCCCAGGGAAAGTGGAGACGCTTTGTCAGTTGGATCTTTTAAGTCTAGACCTGACAAATACCCTCGAAAATGTTCAGTGGAGAACAGCCCAGCATTGTTAGTGGGAGGGACTGAATGATGAAATAGGTTCTTTCCATCTCTGTGTGCTCTCACTGAATGAGACTTTTTTTTTTTTTCCTTTTAGAGGGGTGTTTTAACAGGGAATTTAAAAGCCCTATTGTGAGTCTCTTTTCTCTTATGGAAGCAAGAGGACAGACCTACGGCTCCCTTGTAGCAAAAGCACCAGCCATCCAACTCCTGCAATCAGCTGGGCACGAGTATCAGGACACAGCATCTCCCACGTATATAATGTTGATGTTAGCTGGGAGAGAGACCAGGGCTAACCCTCTTCCCCTCATCAACCCCGCTAGCTCATTGCAGAATAAGGGAGCAGACACCCGTGCGCCATCTCCACAGTGAAAGCAAGTCTAAACTACAGGGGTTTTTTGAAAGGATATATGCAAATTGGTGCTAATTTGCATATCTTCTTCTGAGTGCTTTTTCAAAAGCAGGTTTTTTGAAAGTGAAAGTAGTCTGAACATGGGTTTTTTCAGGAAAAAAAAAACCTTTTTTCAAAAAAACCTGCTTTTCCTAAAAAGAGGAGGTTTACGCGGTTTTTCAAGAGAGGTTTTTTTTTCCAGAAAAAAACGTGTCTAGACTACTTTCACTTTCGAAAAAGCGGTTGGGAGAAGATATGCAAATTAGTGCTGAATTTGCATATCCCCTTTCGAAAAAAACCCGTAGTCTAGACGTTCACTGACAGATTGGGAGACCAGGATAATGTTTGGGGCAAGCAGACTGCAACAGAAAGAAGGAACAACAGAAAGAAGTAGAACTGGTTTTTCAGTCTCCAGACACTGTCCCCTTGTGCTTCAGATTCTCCAACATAGAGATTTTCTCTTCTCTACTAGAGTAGCCCGTTGTTATACTGTCAACGTTTGGGCTGGATGGAAATCATTGAGTCTCTTCACCTCCAGTCAACCCCCAGGGCTGGGGATATTGACCCTGCCATACAGTGATGCTTCCATTAGCCTTCCTCCTCCTCTTCGCTTCACCTCTCTCCAAACACAAGGAGAGCTGATGTTGGAGTGTTATTGTGGAAAGTATGGCCGTCTTTGGCATGCTGCTACAGGAGCCAACACGCAGAAGTTGTCCTGCCCTCTCTCCATTAGCTTCTTCTGCAGTGTCAGGGTGGGATGAGGCAGTCGAATCTTCTTAATTGTAGTAGGTTTTCTTCAGTTGGCTCTAGCCCACTCATTGCCTAAAGGAGAAATGAGGACAAGAACAGGGACGGAGAGATAAGATTGGTTTCTCAGTGCTATAATAATAATAATAATAAATAATGGTGTGGCATGGGAACTGGCTGTTGGCAAGAACTCATGCTGGTTATGACGACTTTTCGGCAAGGAGCTCTTTCCTGAGGTTATTCCTTTCAAGAGTAGAGACATAACCCTGAAGCTGTGTGCCTCTTTAGGAAGGAAGCGGCTGAAATGGAATAGTGGGAGGGGACATTCTCCCTTGGATGCTTCCCACACTATGAAAGGACACATTCGGAATATTTCAGATTAAATGCAGACATGTCAATGTGATTTCTTTGAGACAGAACGGAGATACTAACGTGAGATACTTAACGTCCCTGGTTACTATGCTTAGACTGAGCTCTTATGCACAGGGCACTCACCTTAGTTTAGCTTGTAAGCTGTTGTGCACCTTTATAGCACTACATACAAATAGTAGATACAAAGAAGTCTATTAGAAATTGCATTCACTACTGCAGTATGGAACAGCTTATGCACTACAGTCCAGTATGGTATTTGCATGAACTGTGGCCGCATTTGGGAACTTTCCAAATGTCTTTAGCACAGAACAAGGATATTAGTCTGCAGAAGGTCACTGGCTGACAGGAATGGAAGCGTGGATGGCGCGTAGCTTAAAATATTCTTCCTTTACCGGAACAGATTTTGATAAATCACAAAGAATGTTTAAAGCAAAACCCGGTATAATTAGATTTTTATAATGCAGGAATTTCAAGTCCTAGGGAAGGCAAATATTACAATTTAGTGAAGATGTTGCATATAAAAGATGGTTCAAATTGTACACAAACTTCCTAAAACAAAGAATAAATACAATATAAAGAACCAAATAGTCAGACTTACCTGACATGGATGGAGCAAGGCAGAAAACTTAGAAGAACTAAATACTAGTTCTTGTTATAAAATACTCAAATGTTGCCATGGCAAATAAGATTGTTTTCCTTGTATTTAAGCTTAAAGTGTCATTTCAGCCAAGAAGCATTTGGTCGATTAAATAATGGGATTTATCAGGTGGATTTCCTGAATTAGGCATGAGTTCAGCAGAATTTTTAAAGAATAACTTTCATGGGAAGCTTAAAGTTTGAAGTCAGAATATTAGACAATAAAGTAAAAAGCTTCTTATGTAGATCCATAGTATAGATTTCTTTGTCTTTCACCTCAAGAAACAAAATAGAAACAGAGTTCAGCACGAGAGATTCTAATCCATTACTGCACTGACTGACTGATTAACTAGCAAAATGAGTTGATGCGCAATATTGTATATTTACACAGTCAGATTTTCAGACGGTAAGAAAGATGAGGTGTATATACAGGTGTTCCTGTATACGAAACAAAGAAGAAGGAGGCTTGTTAGGATTATATTATGGTAATTTTATATTGCCCATTTGAAAATTGGAATTGCTTTCCTAATACGTGCATGAGTGCGAGGTTCTTGGCGCTGCAGTGCTGCTGTTTTGGTTCATACCGGTATATTAGCTCAATTACAGTGTTGTGACTTGCATATCCCAGTCATTGGTCCTGGTGAACCCCAGGGGAGGACAGTGATTTTAATTTCATGCCTCAGTGACTACAGTTAGTGACGGATGGGTCTCTCAGATGAGGGAATCGCTTTGTAAATTACTCATCGCTACCTCCTATACATGTGTCACTGGATATGGCTTGGTGTGTGTATAGGAATGGCATCAGCTTCCACCCGTAACCCCTATGCTCCCCTCCCCTCAGGAAAAACAAAACCAACAAAAACCCTGAAATGAAACCAGCAACCTTCAGACAAGCATGTCGTCATTCGGAACTGCTAATTAGGTGGCATGCATCATACCAAGGCGCATGGTAGCAGCAGGCAGTTGTTTGGTATATAAGCCTGTGATTTTGAAATACTGTAACTAGGGCAGACAATAAACAAGACATCCGGAGAGATGTCCGGACTATCCTGTGAGAGGAGGAAAGAAGAAGAAGCAATTATACTGAAGATCTTGGAACAGCAGCGCTGTGCAGAGATTATGGCTGAGTGGCTGTTACAAGTTGTGTTTGATTTTTGTAATCCTGTAGCTCTCAACCTTTTTTTTTTTTTTTTTTTTTCTTTATCATTTGACAGACATGCATTAGGGTTGCATTGTCAGAACAGAACACTGATTAAATCAGTTGTATTTTTAAGACTACTTTGTCCGAGTCTTCTTAGTGATTTAGAAAGAATGGAAATACAACTTCATTTAAAACAATAAATTGCCTTTGACAATACAAATATAGATGCAAATGGATAAATAGGTTTTTTTACATAATTTATTTTTATCTGGAAGTAAATTAATATCACATTTGCATGGCTCTTGTATCAGAAATAATGCACTGTGGTTAATGTTTTAGTTATTTCAATATAGTCAACTTATGATACTATTCAAAAGGATTTGTATAGAAAATTCATGCTTTGTCTCTTTACTGTAACTGGGCAATGTACTGTGGGCACAGAGGACAGAATATCAAGTGTCCCTAGTTAGATAATTGTTTGTCTGTGTTATTTAGAAATTAGTTTTGAAAGCCATTCAGTTAAGAATCTGTCAAGAAGTTATGGGTTTCATGGTGACTTTATATTTGTAATATACTCACAAAGCATTTCCTATGTTCTCTTTGGTTTGTGTATCAGTAGTACTAGAGGTATGTCCTTTTGTTTAAGGTTAAAATTGTAAGGCTATATTATTGTGTGATGTGTAATTACCTGTTCCGGATTAAGCAGCAGCTTATTCTCCAAAGGAAAAGGCAGTAGTAAGAAATTGTGAGAGCGTACCTTTTTAAAAATTGCACTTTATGGTTTTCCAGTGCAGTATCCAGGGTTGTGCTTTTACCCTTCCTTTGTGGCTACCAATGCTATCGTCTTTTCCCAGCTGTGTATGGATTTTGTTAAATTTTTGTTTTAATGAGCACTATTACATAAACCTGTTTCTTGCCACCTGAATCCTTGTTGATAAAATATCATACCTGCAAGCAACTGAAAAACTCAGAGATAGTATTTGTTACCCAGCCGGTTCAGGACCGCTTCTGTGGTTGGGCTAAAGCATGATGTATAGTCTGTGTGATGTTAGTGGGAGTTTGTCAGTTTGTTCTGAGACTTGGACACTGGCAGTCCCTGATCAGCCTGCATAGTGAAGTATTTCCACATGCTTTGCATCTCGTTCTATAGCCATTCTAGCACTGAGCAAGCAAGCAGGAAAATGGTCTTTTTGCACCTCTCAGAATCTGTCTTCATATTTTCATGGCATTAGTTTAGTTGCTTTCTTTATTATTAAATAAAAAAGGAAGGAGAACCTCCATGAAATTAAGAATTAAGTTTATATTGAAATGGAAAAAGCATACTGTCCTAAAGGAAAAAGATTTGTCAACAGAAAATGTATTTTCTGTGTAACTTGTATTCTCCGTCTGTGCACTGTATATCAAGTGTTAATACTGTTGTAGAATTAGAAGAATGAAACTAGAAGAAAAATGCGTGTTAAGATTTTCACAGGAAATACATGTGAAATTGTAGAAGCAAATGTTAAAACTTGCGTCATTCTTTAGAATTCAGCACCCTGGAAAGGGAAACGGTTCAAATCAAGCTATCCAACTTAGATCAGAAATCTTCATTTAAAATAGAAAAAATCACACGAGGAAGGGAGATTTTCGGGTAACTCACTACAAAAAAGACTTTTGACGTAGCGGCTGCTGGATAAAGGGAATCAGTTGTCCTGGAAGAGCTGTGTGTGGTTTGGCCACACAGATGCTGATCTGTGTCAATTGCTTGACCTGACTCAGTCATGCCTTCACTGCTGAATTATGGTTACCATGCTGAAGAATGCTCTGGCTTGGCGTTTGGCGATTCACTGTTTGAGCAATAATGTGATGTTCTGTTCTCTGCAGGCCCACGCGCGATCGGAGAGCTCGGAGGTAGCTTTTGTTACCCAGCTTGTGAAAAAGCTGATGATCATCATTGCACGACCTGCTCGGCTGCTTGAGTGCCTGGTAAGCACAAGTCTCACAAGAAAGTGTGTGCGCTTCAATGGGCCTGATTGGCTGGACAAGTCAAGGAGAGCCAAGTCTTACCGAGAGTCTACTTCTTTGATAAGGACATATAGGGCCTCTGTGCAGAGCTCTTAAAGCTCGTAGTGTAAATGAAGATTGGACTCTGAGGATGTGACTACACAGCCCACAAAGACCTGCAGCAGGTCCGTACGAGCCAAGTCAGGCCACAGAGTTTCACTGCTGTGTAAATTTCCAGACTTAGCCTGGAGTCAAGGTCTGGGACCTTCCTACCCCTCAGGTCCTAGAGCCTGAGCCCGTAAGCCTACACTGCAGTGAAGCACCCCTATGTGCCTGAGTTGGCTGGCACGGACCAGCTGCGGCTTTTTCTTTGCTGGGTAGATATAGGCTTTGTCTACACTACAAACTTTTTGTGGAAGAGCCAAAGCAAATGAATTTTCTTGTGTGTCATTTTTCTAAATTCTTCCG